TAGTTTTTTTTTTTTCTTGGGAGGATGTGCATGTGATCAGCACAGAGCTAATCAGCGCTGTTCAAAGGGTCAGGGGTTATGCAGCCTCATAGGACTACCAGGAGAGAATGAAAACTCCTCCTACAAGCTTTAACCAGTGCTCTGCTGGACACTGATAGAGGTCACAAGACTGCTCTAACTGCTGATGAGAAAAGGTATTTAACAGTTTATATTTAATATAATATTTCCATTTCCATGTTGTGTGTACTGTGGGAGACTGGATATAGTGAATGCAGGGTCCTGGGTTTAGCAACTTTAAATTATGCTCCTTTCAAGTAGTAGCTATCATAATGTTATTTAACTGTGCACCAGCCTAACTTTAGCGCAGTTTGAGAACATCTTAGATTGACGCACTGCACATGCTCTCAAGCACGGCACTGAGCACCACCCTTTCTGCGCACTCACCAGAGACAGAACCAGTGCGCTGCCCCTAATGTGCTTACGCCCCTCAGTACACAAGCAGGGCACGAGTCATTTAAGTATGGCACATCGGGGTAACTCCAGGAAGACGCTGCAAGGAAAAGGAGCCAACCTGTGGGTGGAAACTCCGCAATCAAGACTTTGAAAGGCACATTATGCTGCTAAAACCAAACAAAAAGAACAGGAAAGAATGACCTAAGGCAGTGGTGGCGAAGCTATGGTACACGTGCCGCAGCGGGCATGCAGAAGCCTCTCTGTCAGTATGCGAGCCAAGTCGCCCCAGTAGCTGAGCATTGGACCCCAGCACACATATGGGCCATGCGCATGCTCGGAAAGGAGTAGCGGCGCCAGGCGATGACGTCACAACCTGCGACTCATTAGCTGAAACTCGTCAGAACTTTTGCATGGTTGGTCAGTGCACTGCCAAGGATATAATTATATATATATACAGTCATGGCCGAAATTGTTGGCACCCTTGATATTTCTCCAGGAAATCATGTATTTCTCACGAAACGTATTGCATTAACACATGTTTTGCTATACACATGTTTATTCCCTTTGTGTGTATTGGGACAAAACAAAAAAAGGGAGGAAAGAAAGCAAATTCGACATAATGTCACACAAACCTCCAAAAATGGGCTGGACAAAAGTATTGGCACCCTTTCACAACTGCGGATAAATAAGAATGTTACAAGCATGTGATGCTCCTGTAAACTCACCTGGGGCAAGTAACAGGTGTGGGCAATATAGAAATCACACCTGAAAGCAGATAAAAAGGAGAGACACTTAACCTTTGCATTGTGTGTCTGTCTGTGCCACACTAAGCATGGACAACAGAAAGAGGAGACGAGAACTGTCTGAGGACCTGAGAACCAAAATTGTGGCAAAATATCAACAATCTCAAGGTTACAAGTCCATCTCCAGAGAACTAGATTTGCCTTTGTCCACAGTGCGCAACATTATCAAGAAGTTTGCAACCCATGGCACTGTAGCTAATCTCCCTGGTCGTGGACGGATGAGGAAAATTGATGAAAGATTGCAACGCAGAATAGTCCGGATGGTGGATAAGCAGCCCCAAACATGTTCCAAAGACATTCAAGCTGTCCTGCAGGCTCAGGGAGCATCAGTGTCAGCGCGAACTATCCGTCGACATTTAAATGAAATGAAACGCTATGGCAGGAGACCCAGGAGGACCCCACTGCTGACACAGAGACATAAAAAAGCAAGACTACAGTTTGCCAAAATGTACTTGAGTAAGCCAAAAGCCTTCTGGGAAAACGTCTTGTGGACAGATGAGACCAAGATAGAGCTTTTCGGTAAAGCACATCATTCTACTGTTTACCGAAAACGGAATGAGGCCTACAAAGAACAAAACACAGAACCTACGGTAAAATATGGTGGAGGTTCAATGATGTTTTGGGGTTGCTTTGCTGCCTCTGGCACTGGGTGCCTTGACTGTGTGCAAGGCATCATGAAATCTGAGGATTACCAAAGGATTTTGGGTCGCACTGTAGGGCCCAGTGTCAGAAAGCTGGGTTTGCGTCCAAGATCCTGGGTCTTCCAGCAGGACAATGACCCCAAACATACGTCAAAAAGCACTCAGAAATGGATGGCAAAGAAGCGCTGGAGAGTTCTGAAGTGGCCAGCAATGAGCCCAGATCTAAATCCCATTGAACACCTGTGGAGAGATCTTAAAATTGCTGTTGGGAAAAGGTGTCCTTCCAATAAGAGAGACCTGGAGCTGTTTGCAAAGGAAGAGTGGTCCAAAATTCCGGGTGAGAGGTGTCAGAAGCTTATTGATGGTTATAGGAAGCGACTGATTTCAGTTATGTTTTCCAAAGGGTGTGCAACCAAATATTAAGTTAAGGGTGCCAATACTTTTGTCCAGCCCATTTTTTTTGTGTGACATTATGTCATATTTGCTTTTCTGCCTCTGTTTTATATTTGTTCCAATACATACAAAGGGAATAAACATGTGTATAGCAAAACATGTGTTAATGCAATACCTTTTTTGTGTGAAATACTTGATTTTCAGGAAAAATATCAAGGGTGCCAACAATTTCGGCCATGACTGTATATACACACACACACACACACACACACACATATATAAAAATATATATATACATACACACACACACACACACACACACACATATATATCTTGGACTGGTTGTGAGTTTTAATACATTCGTTTTTATTAACACAAGATTTTAGCTTGTGCTAGTGCTCAGTGGAACTTTGCCCCCCTTGTGCTGGTGCTCAGCGGAACTTTGCCCCCCTTGTGCTGGTGCTCAGCGGAACTTTGCCCCCCTTGTGCTGGCGCTCAGCGGAACTTTGCCCCCCCTTGTGCTGGCGCTCAGCGGAACTTTGCCCCCCCCTTGTGCTGGCTCAGCGGAACTTTGCCACCCTTGTGCTGGCGCTCAGCGGAACTTTGCCCCCCCTTGTGCTGGCGCTCAGCGGAACTTTGCCCCCTTATACTGGTGGTCAGTGGAACTTTGCCCCCTTGTGCTGGTGCTCAGCGGAACTTTGCCCCCTTATACTGGTGGTCAGTGGAACTTTGCCCCCTTGTGCTGGTAGTCAGTGGAACTTTGCCCCCCTTGTGCTGGTCTCAGCGGAACTTTGCCCCCTTATACTGGTGGTCAGTGGAACTTTGCCCCCTTGTGCTGGTAGTCAGTGGAACTTTGCCCCCCTTGTGCTGGCAGCCAGTGGAACTTTGCCCCCTTGTGCTGGTGCTCAGCGGAACTTTGCCCCCCTTGTGCTGGTGCTCAGCGGAACTTTGCCCCCTTATACTGGTGGTCAGTGGAACTTTGCCCCCTTGTGCTGGTAGTCAGTGGAACTTTGCCCCCCTTGTGCGGGCAGCCAGTGGAACTTTGCCCCCTTGTGCTGGTGCTCAGCGGAACTTTGCCCCCCTTGTGCTGGTGCTCAGCGGAACTTTGCCCCCCTTGTGCTGGTGCTCAGCGGAACTTTGCCCCCCTTGTGCTGGTGCTCAGCGGAACTTTGCCCCCCTTGTGCTGGTGCTCAGCGGAACTTTGCCCCCCTTGTGCTGGTGCTCAGCGGAACTTTACCCCCCTTGTGCTGGTGGTCAGCGGAACTTTACCCCCCTTGTGCTGGTGGTCAGCGGAACTTTGCCCCCCTTGTGCTGGTGCTCAGCGGAACTTTACCCCCCTTGTGCCAGCGGAACTTTGCCCCCCTTGTGCTGGTGGTCAGCGGAACTTTGCCCCCCTTGTGCTGGTGGTCAGCGGAACTTTGCCCCCCTTGTGCTGGTGGTCAGTGGAACTTTGCCCCCCTTGTACTGGTGGTCAGTGGAACTTTGCCCCCCTTGTACTGGTGGTCAGTGGAACTTTGCCCCCCTTGTACTGGTGGTCAGTGGAACTTTGCCCCCTTGTACTGGTGGTCAGTGGAAGCTGTTATTGTGTTTTTCTTTTAAGACAAAAGATGTTAATGTATGGGTTTGTTTTTTCTAAAGTAAAACCTCAGTATTCAGGTTTAATTGCAGTGTTGGCACATTGCGATAAATATGTGGGTTTTGGGTTGCAGTTTGGGCTCTCGGTCTCTAAAAGGTTCACCATCACTGATCTAAGGAGTACTGCTGCAGTTATTCTATTTTTCCATGGAGGATTTATTAACATTTCAAATACAGCTGTTTAGGAGCTTAAGATCGATACTTCGTCACATCTATTGATGATTACAACTTGGGATACAGTTTATATCAGAACTGTTGATTGTGTGCAAGCATTTGTCATTATGTTACACATGCATTGTTATTTGTGTGTATAGAAATAGTTTTGTCCTTTCTGTCCTCTGTAGCTAGGGGATACTCTGTGTAGTTAGCCCCACCCTTCTTCTTCATGCTTTGTTCTCCATTCATCCCAGGTGCTGGATTCTGCTAGAGCTAGACACAAAATGATTTTTGTTTTTTTCCTTTCTGAAGTTCATCTGTGAAGATCTGCACAAGTTTTCATTTAAAGATTCTATGATCTGCAGGATATCATTTGGATCAAGTTACTGTTCGCCAAGCTACTAGACTGGAAGTTAAGCTAGCTCACCACAACTGGATAAGTTATAGAGATGACACTTGCATTTCTTAGGTTGCTGAAGCAGAACAGTCATCTATACCAAAGTCAAATATAATTTGTGTTCAAATGTATCAGGGTAAGATACAACTGATTCTACCTGCAAGCTGAATACCAACAATGAGGGTCTGTGCCAGACTGGACTGCAAACAGAACCAATAAAGATTCTACCTCCCTGTACTGGGTTCTCCGAGGCTACACACATATTTAAAGGATAAGTTCACCTTTTAAAAAAAAATTAAATTGACGTTTTTTTGCAGGTAAATAAATGTGCATTTAGAAGCCTGTAAAGCATTTCACCCATGATCAGCAGCAGATCAGGAGTACAATGTCATGCTCCTGCAGACTATCAGTGTAGCTGTCTGCCCGTACTCGGAAAACAGGAGGAACATGTAACATGTTCCCAAAGGTGAACTTTAATAAAAAAAAATCCCTTGAGAACTCAACCATCCTGCATATACTTACCAGTAACTGTTCTTCGTCTTCTTAGGCATTCTGGTAAGTGGGGGGTCCAGGCAGCCCAAATGGTAATGTAGCTTACAGGTATCACACAAGAGCAGTAGGTGCTGGTCATGATTCTTCTTGCATATTCCACAACTACATGAAAAAAAAAAAAAAAATGAGACAAGAAAGCGCACATAGCGCGTCAATCAGGAAGCAGGATTTACTTGCCCTCTGGCTGAAAAACAAATTAACACGAAGCCGGACAAGCAAAGCGCTGCAGTGCCACTCGGATTTAAAACATTACCAATCTTTTCTAGGGGGAAAACTAAATTGCAATGCTAATCAAAATATGGATAACAATTACCTGTAGAGAACCGCGGGCAATGGTAACGTCTTCTGTGTCCCTCCATCCCTTTTACTGGGTTTTCTTTCCTTCGGTGACCGAAGAATGGCTGGAATGTTCGCTTTCTGCTATGTGAAAACCATTAGAAACTTAAGATTTTTTTATTATTAAAAAGTTGAATGACAAGGCATAATAAAAATAAATATTTTTTGACTGAAAAAAAAAAAAAAAAAAAAAAGCAGTAAAGAAGTATAAGTGCACTTTTTCCACAAATGTTGCTGTATAAAGGCAGCTCACTAGGGGTGGGCAGGATGCTCTAAAAGCAAGAGGGGCAGGTGGGTCAATATTCGCTACAAGCTGGGCCAACACAGATCCTGCCCCTGCCTATCTCTCCAAGTAAGCTACTTACTCCAGTGAGAGTACACTAAGGGGTTTATTTACTAAAGCTGGAGAGTCCAAAATCAGACTCCCTTCTGCAAAGAAACCAATCAGCTTCTAACCTCAGCTTGTTCAGTGAAGCTTTGGCAATGAAACCTGGAAGCTGATTGGTTTCTATGCAGAAGGGAGTCTGATTTTGGACTCTCCAGCTTTAGTAAATAAACCCCTAAGTGTCAGAAAATGTGATCACCCCAGCACCATTTAATTCAGTCAGTTCAAACTACAGTTTCTTCCAAAGGCACTACCTCCTAGAGCAGCGGTTCTTAACCTGGGGGTCGCGACCACTTTGGGGGTCGAACGACCATTTCCCAGGGGTCGCCTAAGACCATCGGAAAACACATATTTCCGATGGTCTTAGGAACCGAGACACCGCTGCTGTCTCCGGCGATGTGTGGGCGGGATGATATGCTGCCCCTGTCACCACTTCCTCGCCGCTGATTGGCCACCGGAACTGTAGCTCAGGAGAGGCACACAGGCGGCCAATCACCGGCGAGAAGGTGGAGCTTGGAGAGGAGGAGCCGAGCGGCAGCGCGCGGAGATCGGAGAAGATCGAGGGAGCTGCAGGAGCGAGTGAAGAGAGAGGCCAGAGAAAGAAGACAGCTGACAGGTAAGTGCAAATTTTGCTGCTGCAGCCAGGTATGCTGCCTGTAGATGGGAGAGGGAGAGAGCGAGCCCAGGCTGGAGCAGGAGTCAGCAAGGTAAGTATCATTGGTGTCAGTGGAAGGGATAGTGCCCCATCATTTGTGTCACTAATACCAACGATGGGGCACTATTCCTCCCCCCACTGACACCAACGATGGGGCACTATTCCTCCCCTCACTGACACCAACGATGGGGCACTATTCCTCCCCCACTGACACCAACGATGAGACACTATTCCTCCCCTCACTGACACCAATGATGATGCACTATTCCTCCCCCCACTGACACCAACGATGAGACACTATTCCTCCCCCCACTGACACCAACGATGGGGCACTATTCCTCCCCCCACTGACACCAACGATGGGGCACTATTCTTCCCCCCACTGACACCAACGATGGGGCACTATTTCTCCCCTCCACGACACCAACGATGGGGCACTATTCCTCCCCTCACTGACACCAACGATGGGGCGCTATTCCTCCCCCCACTGACACCAACGATGGGGCACTATTCCTCCCCCCAACGCCAATGATGGGGCACTATTCCTCCCACTGATACCAATGATGGGGCACTATTCCTCCCACTGACACCAATGATGGGGCACTATTCCTCCCACTGACACCAATGATGGGGCACTATTCCTCCCACTGACACCAATGATGGGGCACTATTCCTCCCACTCATACCAATGATGGGGCACTATTCTTCCACTGACACCAATGATGGGGCACTATTCCTCCCACTGACACCAATGATGGGGCACTATTCCTACCACTGACACCAATGATGGGGCACTATTCCTCCCACTCATACCAATGATGGGGCACTATTCCTCCCACTCATACCAATGATGGGGCACTATTCCTCCCACTCATACCAATGATGGGGCACTATTCCTTCCACTGACACCAATGATGGGGCACTATTCCTCCCACTGATACTAATGATGGGGCACTATTCCTCCCACTGACACCAATGATGGGGCACTATTCCTCCCACTGATACCAATGATGGGGTACTATTCCTCCCACTCATACCAATGATGGGGCACTATTCCTCCCCACTGATACCAATGATGGGGCACTATTCCCCCCACTGATACCAATGATGGGGCACTATTCCCCCCACTGATACCAATGATGGGGCACTATTCCCCCCACTGATACCAATGATGGGACACTATTCCTCCCACTGACACCAATGATGGGGGACACTATTCCTCCCACTGACACCAATGATGGGGCACTATTCCTCCCCCCACTGACACCAATGATGGGGCACTATTCCTCCCCCCACTGACACCAATGATGGGGCTCTATTCCTCCCCCACTGACACCAACGATGGGGCACTATTCCTCCCCTCACTGACACCAACGATGGGGCACTATTCCTCCCCCCACTGACACCAACGATGGGGCACTATTCCTCCCCCCACTGACACCAACGATGGGGCACTATTCCTCCCCCCACTGACACCAACGATGGGGCACTATTCCTCCCCCCAACGCCAATGATGGGGCACTATTCCTCCCACTGATACCAATGATGGGGCACTATTCCTCCCACTGACACCAATGATGGGGCACTATTCCTCCCACTCATACCAATGATGGGGCACTATTTCTTCCACTGACACCAATGATGGGGCACTATTCCTCCCACTGACACCAATGATGGGGGGGCACTATTCCTATCACTGACACCAATGATGGGGCACTATTCCTCCCACTCATACCAATGATGGGGCACTATTCCTCCCACTCATACCAATGATGGGGCACTATTTCTTCCACTGACACCAATGATGGGCACTATTCCTCCCACTGACACCAATGATGGGGCACTATTCCTCCCACTGACACCAATGATGGGGCACTATTCCTCCCACTGACACCAATGATGGGGCACTATTCCTCCCACTCATACCAATGATGGGGCACTATTCCTCCCACTCATACCAATGATGGGGCACTATTCCTCCCACTCATACCAATGATGGGGCACTATTCCTTCCACTGACACCAATGATGGGGCACTATTCCTCCCACTGATACTAATGATGGGGCACTATTCCTCCCACTGATACCAATGATGGGGTACTATTCCTCCCACTCATACCAATGATGGGGCACTATTCCTCCCACTGATACCAATGATGGGGCACTATTCCCCCCACTGATACCAATGATGGGGCACTATTCCCCCCACTGATACCAATGATGGGGCACTATTCCCCCCACTGACACCAATGATGGGACACTATTCCTCCCACTGACACCAATGATGGGACACTATTCCTCCCACTGACACCAATGATGGGACACTATTCCTCCCACTGACACCAATGATGGGACACTATTCCTCCCACTGACACCAATGATGGGACACTATTCCCCACTGACGCCAATGATGGGGCACTATTCCTCCCACTGACGCCAATGATGAGGCACTATTCCTCCCACTGACACCAATTATGGGGCACTATTCCTCCCACTGACACCAATTATGGGGCACTATTCCTCCCACTGACGCCAATGATGGGGCACTATTCCTCCCACTGACGCCAATGATTGGGCACTATTCCTCCCACTGACGCCAATGATTGGGCACTATTCCTCCCACTGACACCAATGATGGGGCACTATTCCTCCCACTGACACCAATGATGGGGCACTATTCCTCCCACTGACACCAATGATGGGACACTATTCCTCCCACTGACACCAATGATGGGGCACTATTCCTCCCACTGATACCAACGATGGGACACTATTCATCCCACTGACATCAGTGATGGGGCGCTAGTCCTCCCACTGCAAAATTACAGTTATGAAGTAGCAACGAAAATTATTTTATGGTTGGGGGGTCACCACAACATGAGGAACTGTATTAAGGGGTCGCGGCATTAGAAAGGTTGAGAACCACTGCCCTAGAGCAATACCACTTTGGGGAAAGATGCACTTATCCTTTAATTAGCATGACGTGAATCCATGACAGGAATAAGGATACTTTTAACAAGCTGTAAATGAGCTTTGAAACAAGTTTACACTAACCACTGTAGCTGCAGGCATTGTAGAGAAATTAGCTCTCACTGAAACGCTTCATTTACTACTTCTCAAAAACACGTACAGTGGACATAAAAAGTCTATAAACCCCAGTTAAAATGATAAATCATTTCAGAACCTTTTCCACCTTTAATATGACCTATAAACTGTACAACTCAATTGAAAAACAAACTGAAATCTTTGGGGGGGGGGAGTAAAGTGTGCACACCCTCTTATAACTGGGGATGTAGCTGTGTTCAGAATTAAGCAATCACATTCAAAATCATGTTAACCACTTGCCCTCCAGAGGATTCCCCCCCCCCCCCTTCCCTTCCTGACCAGGCCATTTTTTGCATTACGGCGCTGCATTACTTTAACCTCCCTAGCGGTATGATTATTTCAGATTTTTGGTGCTGAAAGCGGTACCATTTTTTTGCATGGAAATATGTATTTTTTTAATTGTAGGCCTGTAATTTTTAGGAAAAACTCACTGAAATCTGTCCGAACAAGAGTCTAGTAAACATCCCGGGTGTGATAAAATTTGAAACACAAAATCATAAATTATAATTTAATAAATAATCATAAAAATATATATAAAAAATAAAAAATTTAATTCAATAATATAATCAAACCAAAAACACTGAAATTTGAAATATAGCGCCAAGTTCGCACATCGCTGAGCAAAGTCGCAGAATCGTTTTCAGTGTCTGATGACGAATTTCCCCCACGAATCATTATCACTCAATTCTGCAAGTGGTTCTGATTTACTATCGCTGTTCTCTAGCCGGTCTAAAACCGCTTTTGACCTAAAGGGACGCTTTTTGGACGTCATGGACATTTCTCAGTTTCCAGGCAGAAAAAAACAGACAAAATGCAGGCAGGGCGCCGGACAAAGCACTCGGGACAAAATGTATGTGAAATTGGTTGAAACAGCAATGTTTTACTATGTAAAATGTAAAAAAAAAAAAAAAAAAAAGACATTTTTTAAAATTTTTAA